TTCTTTGCTAATTTTCGTACCCATATAAAAAGAATCAATAAATAAATCAAAAAAAAATAAATACAAACTCATCTAAAACAATAGTGATAATAAAACACAGGATAATATTTGACAATAACTAGAAATTTATTTTGATGCATGTACCAAATTCATTGAGTTTATTTTATTATCATACAACATTAGTTATATTGATGTGTTTGTTATTGAACACTGCTATTCTGAAATGCTTTATGTAAACTCCTCTCATTACACTATCGTTACTGCTGTAAACACTATCTAATTTTCTATTATTTGATTTTGTTCTCTTAATGAATACATTGTGTCGTAAAATATAATATTGTACATTACTTCTTTTAAAAGTGTACTTTCTGTTTTTTTTTGAGAATTTAAAGGAAATAATTAAAAAGCAAAATTATTAATTCTTAAAATTATGTTAATAGAAATTATAATTAAGAAATGTGAAGATGTCAGTTTGATTTAACGATACCAACACTTTTTGAATTTGTCAACACAACAAACTAAATTAAATTAAAATGTTTAGCGTAATACTAAAATATTTAATATTTTAGAATTATGCTATCCAGGTAAACTAACTTAACGTTGTGTTAGTTCAAAAAAAAAACAAAATTAAAAACAAACATAGAAAATGATAAAAAAAGAAGAAAAAACATTTTAAATACAAAGGAAAGAATCTTCATGAGAAAATATTTTAATAAATTTAGAAGGAATTATAAAATGGAAAAAAGTAAGTAACTTAAGGAAAAACTGAAAACGAATAAAAACAACAATCAAACTATTTTTGAAAACATATAATATATTAAGACATATGTTTATTTCATTATTAATGTATGTAATAAAACCTTAACTTACTTATTTGTTATTTAGACATTTCATTTTTTAAATTTCAAGTCAAAGTTTTGTTTATCTTAAAGAAATGAACATAAATTTTTTATTTGAATGATGTTTTACTTTTGATGAAATATTTATTATTTTATAAACTAAACATATAATTCCTTAAAAAGAGCTATTCAGTTATAAACAAGATTCAACATCAACCAAATAGATGCTTAAATAATCTTTTTTTCAATAGAATAATCTTATTTCTGATGTTCAATAATACTCTGAAGTATTTTATTTCTTTCTTCACCATCTCTTTTTAATTGACACAACCGATCAAATATTTCTTGAATCAACTGACACTCTTCACCATTCTGTAATCCTTCTCTATCATCATCATTATTTTCTGAGCTTTCTTCACTGAGAATGTTGTCTTCAAAAGTACATTCTTCATCTAATGACCCAACAATAAAGTCATCTATTTCATCCTTTATTTCTATATTATTTTGGATCGATGAGGGATTAACAAAAATAGGAATTGTACTTTGACGTAACAAGTTGGAATATTCTATTTGTTCTTCAAAAACAAAAACATCTTGTTCAACCGTATTTGTTGATGATAAGTTAGTTTGTTGTTGGTTTATTGATTTTTCTTCATCTTCTACCATTGGTGTATGCATTGGAGTGACAACAAGAAGTGGAGAATAAGTTCCTGGAGGTAAAGACATAGAATAAGAAAATGAAAGAGAGTTAGCAAAACCTTGTTGGTAAGGGTAATAATCAGAATAATACGTTGAAAGAGAACAAGATGAATTAAAAATGTCTTGGTGTTGACTAGTCATAAAATGGAGTTTTAGTGCAATTAAGTTATCATTCAACTATTTTTTCAAAAATCTTTTAAACTTTTTACTTCTCAAAAATTTAATCGAATTTTTTTTCCTTTTTTCAATTTAAAATTCTCTTCATCTTTCATTTTCTATTTTTTTATAAATCTTTTTTTAAAAGGAATAGAAATAACAAAAAAGAGTGAGTTATGCCTCAAAGTAAAAACAAAAAAATTTAAAGATTTTCATCTTATTAAATTCATTCAGTTCATGTCAAGAGAAGAATGTGTTATTTGCACAGATCGTATTATTGTTTATTCTGTTGGTGAGTGTAATCACCCAAATGTTTGCTATAGTTGCTGTTTTAGAAGTCGAGTATTGTATAATGATTTTACATGTCCATTATGTCGACACAAGAACCCTATTGTTATATATACTAAAAAACCAATGTCATTTAAAGAGTTAACAAAATCATCACCAGCTTTTCAATTTAAGGAGTATGGAGTTCAAACCAATGATAGAGATGTTTATAAATATTTAAAATATCTTCTTTCTAATACATGCAGATATTGTACTTCAGAATTTTCTACTATTGAGAAGTTAAATGAACATTATAAAAAAATACATCATGTTCAATTTTGTTCTGTTTGTATGCAATATCAAAAGTCATTTACTTGCGACAAACAAGTATTTACAGATGAAGAATTACATGACCATATTAAAGAAATAGATCCAGAAACAGGTGTAAAGAAACATCCTTATTGTGATTTCTGTAATGTCCCATTTTTTGATCTTGAGTCATTATATAATCACCTTAACACACAACACGAAAGTTGTTTCATTTGTGATAAATCAAGTGATCATCCAATTTATTTCCGTGACTATGATGAACTTTTTAAACATATGTCTACACAACATTATGTTTGTGAAGATCCTAATTGTATTGCAAAAAAATACATTGCCTTTTCAACTGCAGAAGAATTAACAAATCACCGAATTATTTATCACATGAAGAAAGGAGAAAAAGTAATTTTGGAATCTGGTGTGTTTTTTACTGATACGCCTCAAAGAGGAACTCGTTATGGAAGAAGAAGAAATAATTTTATTCCTAGTCAATTTGAATATCATAGAGAAGATACTACTAAAATAAAAGAAGAAAAAGAAGAGGAAGAACATTTAGATTTCACTGGTTCAAGTTTCCCAAGACTAGGAGGAAATACAACAACAAATCATTCTGAGATATATCAAGGACAAATAACTACAGGAAGAAGAAATCAATCTCAAAAGAAAAAGAGAAAAGAAAATAAAGAACTTTTCCCTTCAATTGGGGAAAATAATAATAAAGCAAAAAGTGATATGAAAGAAGCTTATAAACAACAAGAAAAACAAGAAATTGCTATGAAAGTAGACTTACAACAAAAAATGAAAGATATTCTTGGTGGAAGATATGATAAATTTGTCCAAGAAAATGAAATGTTTAAAAGAGGAGATGAAACTGCTGCAATGCTTCTTGACCGTTTTCATAAATATTTTGCTGGAAATCCTGATGAAAAAGAGATGCTTGCAGAATTTATTAATTCATGGCCAAATACTAAACAAAGAAATATTTTAATTCAAGTTGATAATCAAAGAAATGAAGAATTAGCAAAAATGAAAATGAGAGATGAAATGTTTATGTCTGCTCAACACTGGGAAGAAGAACAACAAAAAAGAATTAAGAGTCGAGCTAACACTCAAATTATTCCTGAGAGTGAAAGAAAGAAAATTATTGAAGAAGACAAAACCAAATTAAAGAGAAAGAAAAAACAAGAAAAAGAACTATTCCCCAGTTTAGGTGAAGGAAGAAACCTTCCTATTTCACCAAAACCTTCATCAAAAACATGGAGTCAAATTGCACGTTCAACTTCAATAGAAGCACAAAAAGCAAAGAAAGAAAGAATGGACCTTGAAAAAGCTCGACTAGATGATTCTAAATTTCCAAAACTTGGTAGTAAGTAATAAATAAATGAATTTTTATTTTATTATATTATTTTAATATATTTAATTTATTTTATAAATCATTATTTTCTTTTATATTATTTTCTTTTAATGATTCAACAATTTAATTACATATTTAATGTTTTAAACAAATAGTTGATAGTAATTATTATTATTATTATCACCCCTTTTTTTATTAAGTTACTTATAAATTAATTAATATAATTTAAAAATTATTATTCATTAATTTTATTTGAATATTTTATCTTTTTGTATATTGAAATACTACTTATAGTATTACTTATAGTATTATACAACAACATTACATTTAATTCATTCTTTTTAATTTAATTATTATATTTATTAATATTTTTTCTTTTTATAATCAATTAAATTATTATTTATTTATTTCATTATTTATGATGTATTAACCATTGTACCTATATCATAACACTCAACATTTTGAATGTTTAAATGTTAATTACAATGAAATAAAATATTCAATTCATTGAATAACACTTTTATTTATCTTTATTTATTGTTATTCTTTTTTAACTCTTTCTTTATCATAAATTGTTAGAATCTAACTAACCATAATATTATAAGTATAATGGCTAATAGGATTCTCTTCTTCTTGCTTTATATTTTAAGTTAGAGTTCTAAAACTACAACTTTTGTCTAAAAGCTTCATTAATATATGAATTTTTTAGTTCTTCGATTTTTATTTTGATTATTAGTT